TAATTAATTCGTAAACGAAACGGGCTTGTGAGCGGTCTTCAAGCGGGAACAATGTTAACACTAGAGCCGTGCGCTGGCGCCAAGAAAGCCGTGGAAGCTGAGGTGATCAAAACAATACAGAAGCAAGGTAAAGAGTAAAGACCTTCTTTCCAACTGTGCGAATTGAAATAATTAAAAAAAAAAAAAAATGAGAAAGAGAGAGTTAATTTTCACACGCTCGTTTTATTTTTGCGTTGCGCTTGCACATCTCGTCGAAATTTACACAGAATCTCGCGAGGCCGATTTACACGCCAGTTTTATTTTTATTTTTATTCTTTTCTTCTTAACCGAGTGGTTCACACAGAGATATTCTGCCGAAGGGTACAACTTGAACACCGTGAACAGTTACGGGGAGAATCTGTTGCACGTGAGCGCGGCGAACGGCTGCTATGAGATCGTGAGGACGATTTTAAGCCGGGAGAAAGGCCGTTGCGCCGTGGACAGGAAGAATAAGTTTGGCTGGACCCCGCTGATGCAGGCGATTCGCAACGGTGACATCGACACCGTGAAATTGCTCTTGGAGAAGAAGTCCAACGTCGACGAGTCGACGTATCTCGGTAAAAGTCGGCTTAATCCGCGATAGATCAGGATAGGGAAACGTATCTTTAACAATTAGGAATAATGAGAGGATAATATTGACGCTCTGTCCTCTTGCCTTTCTTCATTCTATTTTCTTCCTTCTTTTCGCTCTGATCGGGGATAGGTATGTCGGTTCTCGGGCTGGCCGCCGCGATCAGCAAGAGGATGTTCGAAACGGTGTACGACGCGTGTCCGGGCGCGTTGTCGAATGCCACCAACGACGACATCAGTCCACTGTGCGTGGCCGCCATGAAAAACGACAAGGAGCTGTTCTTCAAATTGCTAGAACTGGGCGCGTCAGTTTCGGATACCAGTGAGATGATTTCTTCTTCATTTCTTCATTTCTTCATTATCGCGCGGTCGATTATTCGCGAAAGTGAATATTCAAAGTGGACAGGACTGTCCTTTGAATTTCTCAGAGCGAAACCTGTGAAGTGGTACATTAAATTCGCTCTTCGAGCTCGAGCAAAAATACTCGATGATTTTACAGGAGAGTTTCTCGCTCGGCTGATACCTTCTGCTTTTCGAGTGAAATTCCACTCCGAGTGAAATTTAGAGAGTGCAATCTGTTCACGCGTTCCCTTCTTCTTCTTCTTCTTCTTCTTCTTCTTCTTCTTCTTCTTCTTCTTCTTCTTCTTCTTCCCCATTCCGTTGTTAAAAACGCGAGAAGCCACGGTTATAAACGGAGGAAAATCGTGTTGAGCGCAGACGAGTACACGCACATCATGATGAGGAGCTCGACGGTAGCGGAGATCGCCGACTCGGCGCGGAAACATTTGATCGTGGAAGATTATTGGAACGATACGTCGGATAACATCCAAGTGATGAGCGAGCCGGACGCCGACGACAGCAAAGCGACTTGCAAGAACGACAGGGAAAGGACGGCGGTAAGGCCGGTGAGACCGCATCTCTTGTCCGTGGCCGCAGAATCCGCGGAGATGCGGAATTTAGCGTCGCCCGCGTTGTCGTACAATCTCGAGGGCATGTTCGCGTCGTCGCCGATCGCGTACTTCACAAGGATCGATTTCGCGGAGCGCTCAAACGCACCTCCGGAGGACGACGACACGGCGAACGATCTAGAGACGGACGGGCGTCAGCAGGAGTCACCTCCGGTTGCACTTCCAAGGTAGATCGGTCGCGCGATTTGAACGAGTTACGAATGTACTTTCTAGCGAGGTCACTCTCGGATGCTCAAATAGCACAAGACGTCTCAGCGTTATTCTGAACGTGTCCAGTGCCTAGAGAGTGTCCCAGAAAGTTACAAATATACTTGGGACAATCTCAGGATGTCTGGTGTGATCAGGATATGATTTCAGACAGAAGTCTGCAGAAGTAAAAAATGTCGGGAAAGGTAGAAATTAGATGTCTCAGAAGGATTCCAGATCTTCTGGATTTCTGCGAAAATGTTTGCACACCCAGGACGACGGCAGGACGTCTTGTGTTATCGGAGTAGACGGCAGAGATTCATCTGAAGAGATAAAATAATTTCTGAAAAGGGTAGAAAAATTAAAATTCTAAAAACTAGATTTCTAAGGAGAATTCTGAATTTTTCTTCTCTAAAGTTTTAGAACTTAGAAAGGATCAGATGCTTTAACCCTTTAACTGCTGAGATATTAAATGACCAGTCTATGACCCTCTTTGCTGAGTTATTTTTACAATTATAAAATATTTTATAATGATAAAAGATGGCACTATATGCCCGCTCAATTCAAATGCTTTTTACAAACTAAATTAAATTAAATGGGTATTACACATTGAAAGTCCAAATCGAGTAAATTCGATCGTAGCAAGGCCGCCATTTTTTTTCACACTCGAGTTATCTCGACCGTAGCAGTTAAAGGGTTAAAGACGTCTGAAAGATTTCCAGAAGACGTCCGTGAAAAGTAAAATGTCCTTTGGACATTTTTAAGACGTTTTTCGGAAATTCGTGCTATCCGTGAATTCGACGCGCGACTTGATCGCAGATTACAATCGGTGCGACCGGCGGATCTTGAGATCGCGGATTCCTCGGACGACCTGGACGTCACTCTCGGCTTCACGCCCGAATTCAGTCCGCTGAGGTGTCCGCACGTGCCACCGGACATCAACGATGAGAACGTGTTCGGCGAGAGCACACCGACGCCACCGCGCTGCAAAACGCCGCCGAAGGGGATGTTGCTGAATTCACGGCAGACGAAAATGATTATCCTGTTGAGGCGCTCGGATCTAGGCCGACATATCCCTGTGTTTCTCAAGCAGGAAGTGAGTATAATTTTGACGGGATAAGCGACACCTCGCGAAATCGTATATTAAGATCGATCGTAGCAGCGAGTTTACTTTCTCGCCTTAATTAGCTTTACAATAAACTTCGCTTCGGGATGGGCCGTGAAAAAGTTTTAAAGCATCGACGAATTGTATTTCATCTTAAATCATAACTCGCCTCACGTTTTTTTCTTATCCTAGGTGGACATGGACTTGTTTCTGACACTTACGAATGATGATTTGATAGAGATCGGTATCGAGTACGAGGAAGACAGGTGTGCCTTGTTAAAGGCGATAAAGGAATACAAGAGGAATTTGAGTCAAAATTATAACTGATATTTGTGTGATTGTGCTCGTTTACGCGAAAGAAAAGGAGCGCAGCGCGTTTCCCTTACACTCTCACACTCTCACGTAGATAAATATTCTTTTTAATTCGCGATAATATTACAGTAATTTTAGCTTATAGTTTTTAGGTATTTAATTCTCATAACTAACTTATTGGAGTATCTATGCTTTTGTTAAAAGTTAACGCTCCCTTTCTTCAATTGGAGATCATCGTGTAAGCCGCGTTTTATGGAAAATGAATATTAATAAAAGCAGACGCTTATTCGCAGGAGAAGCATTTTCTTCAAAATTCCACGCTCTTATTCGTCACCTCTAGCTTTCAATAGCTTCTCCCTCAAGCTCAGCTTGTCAGGCTTCTCCTCCTTGTCTGCCGACTTCTCCTACAGAATATCGTTCTTGTTAACGAGCGTTTTTCTATTAAAGATTATATTACTTGTGTACAACGCGAGATTTACCGGGCGTGTTTGTGCTTCTTCGTCTCCGAAGTAGTGCGATTGGCTTTCATCTTTCGGCACGATCACTTTGGTGTCATCCACGTCGTGCAATATTACCGACAGGTCGCCGACGTTTCCACGTCGCTGAGATTTGCTCGCGGAGCTCGTCGGGCCGATCCCGAAATCGAAATCACCGGCTTCGGTCCCGCACGTGAATGAATCATCGGTCTTCACTAGCGACATTCGCATCCGTTTAATGGGAACCTCGCACGTATCGGGCACACGAAACCGCGGCGTCGCCATGCTGTTAACGGTTCTCGATCCCGTGCCGTATCCTGTGTCGTATCCTGAAAACCTGACGGTCTTCGGTAGTACCGGCGTGCGCACCTGAAGAGCCGCTCGGTATGTGCTCTGTGGGAGAAGATACGTGTTAAACAGTGGCTTTGAGTCCTCAAGTTTGCCTGCCGATGACTCGATAAAGACAAAAAGAGGATGAGAGGCAATATTTTATCTTCTCACCTCGGGGCACACGTCCAACTGCTGACCACACAATTTAGACACCCCGCCTCGTAGTTCAGCCGCGAATTTGTAAATTATGGGCACCAGGTCCGTCGAAGATGAAAGAACGCGCAGGGGTCCCGAGGCCAGACACGTCTCAGGATATAGGAAGACTCTCGACTTGAAATAGAAGAACTCGATGTCGTAAAACAGGGATCCCTCCACGTGATCTGGCAGTACGTAGCCGTGCTGAAATAAAGTGGAGCGTTGCTTGCGCGATTTACGACGTTGTTCGGAATCGCGACTAGTAGCTTCATCGACGAAGCGAATGAAAGCGACGTGTATAATTAATATTTAACGCGCGATACGCGTGATAATTCCGATGAATAAGCTGTCGAGCTCGCACCATGTCTCTCCAGTACGCTCGTAGGTGCTCGTAATCCTTGAACGGATGCTCCTCCTTGATAGCCCTCGAGATGCGCAACACGTTCGCCATTTTCATGCTGTGAACAATCGTTTCGCGAAATCGTGAAACGGTAACGCCACTTTTCGCTATGTTCCGAAATGCGCTAACGGCGCACCGAGCAAAAACGTTTAAAAAATAAAAATATATACTCGGTAGGTACTGATGACATATTTGTGTTAATAAACATATTATTGCACTGAAACATTTTTCCCAAGCGAGAAAATATATAAATAATTTCCCTACAACCAAAGCCTTTTTCACAAAAGCAACATTTGTTCCGTTTAGATAAAAGAATTTAGTTTAAATAAATATGTCATTGGTATCTACGTAATAGTTTACATTTTTCAAACATCTTCTGTCTCACTGTGTGTGTGTGTGTGTGTGTGTGTGTGTGTGTGTGTGTGTGTGTGTGTGTGTGTGTGTGTGTGTGCGTGCACCAGAATTCTATAATGCAATTTCCGTGCACTGTAAATTCTCCGTATTCTATCAGTACATCTCGAAACGCTCCCTTCGAGATTTCGCGACAGCGGAGCACGTCGACAAAAAAAAAAAGAACTCACGATTCCGACGATTTACCTCGGTAAAACGCGCACCGGCGGCTGCATATCGTGCGGCAAGGGACGCGCCGTGTTCAATCTCACGAACGGTATTTTAAGATTTACGGCTTCCACCTGAAGCCGAGCGCTGTTACCTGCAATATTTTCACATTACATTCATCCTCGTCGTGACGTGAAGTAACGAGGAAGATGAGGAACTCGTTCCCCTCCAGTAATATCAAATAAGCCCGCGTCGCTTCGTATCGCAAAAATGCACGCGTGTTTAGCATAATTGTTAATTCGTTAACAGCCAGATCTTTTACCTTGGATCTCCTTGATGTTCAGCATTATAGCGTTGACGCTTTCCGTCGAACTGAGGAAATGTTGTCCCTCGACAAGGTACAGCCCGACCTTGTTCCAGCGCGGCGCCAACTTGCACTCCACGGTGTAGAGAAAGCACGCTTTGTAAACGTAAGTCGGAATAGGGTCCAACAGATCCATCTGCGTGATTGCGCGAAAATAATTAACTGTTGGTTCGCAATTGTTTGCGTTCGCAATATGGAGTAAGTAAATGGCGGCGTTCGTTTGTCTCGTGCGAGGTTCACTCGCGATTAGCAGGATTCGAAGAAGCGTTAGCTTTTTCTCGCGGATCATCGCGAATACGTACCACTTGTATGTTCAACGCGTCGCAGTGATCCTGGAACGCGTAATTCTCGAAGAAGTCCTTCGTGGTGATGACGTATATAGCACCCCCGGCCTCGCGTATTTTCCGGTTAGTCACCGGAGCGGTCATTGCTTGAGGAGTTTCTTGAAGAAATTGACTGAAAGCCAAGACATATGAGAGAGGAAAATCGCCAAACGTTAAAAGGATAATGTTTAGGATAATAAACATTCGTTTGTAATCTTCTTCAGAGCAACATAAGATTCCGTGACGATGGAGGCTTACCGACATTTGAGCTTGTTCGAACAAAAATCCGCATAAATTAGGAATTCGTTCTCGCAGTTCACGATCCTGCAGATCGCACAGCGGAGATCGTCCTTTTCCGGTACAGTAATCTCAAATACTTTCACGTTCGAAGCCATAATTAAGTGTCAAAGAGCCGCTTTATACGTTAACGAGTAAAAAAAGCCGTTGCTAATGCTCTTTTATATTTTAATATAAACATGGCGGGTTTTTGAATTTTTGATTTTAAAATTGTCTCATAGAACGCTCGCGATTGGCAGAAATGTTAGTCTGCTCTTAGCTGCACTATTTTGTACTTTCTGCACTTCAGAAAGTGAACCGGAGGTTTGTAACGGAAAGTAGAGTAAAAATATAACGGGTCTAACCATTTTTATATTCCCTTCTTTTTGCCTCGGAAATAAAGGGTATACAGATCGTTAGACCCTTTACGCCTCTAGTTCCAAGTTCTCCCGTTAGGAGCCATCACTTACCTTAGGAAAGAATCGTGATACAACTCGATAACGGATTAGACGAACTCTCCTTTTAAAGTAGTTTTGCTCAACGACGGAGCAACCGTCTTTTACTCTCCTGAAAAATAGACAAAGTTCAATAGGCTGTAACTCCGGCAAAAATGAAGCTATTGAGATGATTCGAAAAGTATTTTGCAGCTTGAAGTCTACAGTTTTTAATCATATTAATATAATAATTTTGTTGTTATCTTTTGTCACAACATATCGAGTTAAACGCAAAATGGCGATCTAATTCAAAGCTAATCTTTCAATTGAGCACTTGTATATCAAGTTATTTTCACAATAATATTGATAATTTAATAAAATTAATATCAGCCAACATTAATAACTAATTATTGATATGTCAGTTTTGGAATAAATGCTTAGTTTATATATTTGTTATGTGCACGCCGCCGGTGTAGAAAGTTCATCTGAATAAAGTAAGAATAAAGCTGGTGTTAAGAAATTATACATTTCATATTTATTTAAACCATGTTAAAAATATTGAGAAATGCTATTCGTTCGGAAAGGGTCCGACATAAATGCAAGAGAGTTAATGACTACAGTCAGCAGGTTCAAAATTTATTATGTTTCATCCTAACCTTTAACTATTGAAAAGCCAAACATATTCTACTTGATATTATTTTTACTAAAGACGTCAATTTATAGACAACACAAACCCCATATCAAAAGATACTATTCTGTGGAATTCAGCCTACGGGAGGTGTACACGTAGGCAATTATTTTGGTGCTATACAAAGATGGACTATGCTGCAGAATTCCAAAGATATGGTTCTATGCAGCATAGCAGATCTTCACTCAATCACTTTGCCGCAAGTAAAAATATAGGAAATTAAATACTTATCTTTTCTAAAATCATCGCTAATATTGTCTATCAACAATATATGATCTGTAGGATCCAAAACAGTTGAGGGAAAATACTTTGTTAATGACCGCTACTTTAATAGCCTGTGGTATAGATGTTAAAAGGAGCATTATCTTTCAACAATCCAAAGTATCGATGCATGCAGAACTCTGCTGGGTTCTAGCTTGTATCACAACCATGGCTAGGCTGGCACACTTACCACAATTCAAGGAAAAGAGTGAATCCTTGAAGAATGTTCCACTAGGTTTATATATTTATCCCATATTGCAAGCAGCTGATATATTGCTATACAAGTAATCTTGATATTATATATAAGATATTGTTAGGCAAAAGGACAATATATTACTTAAGAATTTCATTCTTAGAGCAACAGATGTCCCGGTAGGACAAGACCAGGCTCAACATATACAGCTGGCACAGGATTTAGCACGAATATTTAACAAAAAGTTTGGAATGACTTTCCCGATACCACGTGTCCTTGTTAGTGGTAAAGTTTTTCAGAATACAATTTCAAACTTTGACAGATTTAGCTTAATTTTGTATAAATGTTGGCTGATGGATGTTGGCTTTCTCAGATGGTCCAAGTCAGAGAATCAAATCTCTGCGTGATCCCACGAAGAAAATGTCGAAATCACATCAAGATACTAGAAATAGATTAGATATTTTAGATAATCCGGATGTACTGTTGGAGAAAGTGAAGAAGGCTCTGACTGATTTCACCTCCGAAGTAACTTACGAGCCAGAAACACGGCCGGGAATAGCTAACTTGATTAATATACACTCTTTATTTACTGGAAAGACACCAGATGAGATATGCGAGGAAGCCATAGAATTAAATACAGGACAGTGAGTAAAAATAAAGATCATTTTATTTAGCATTACTAGAACATTACGTAGAACATTTAGAAGATCGATTATTCCTGAAAATTTTAATAGACACCGAAGATTTTTAACTTATTCGATTATAATTGATTCACATTTAAATATATTTAGGTATAAATTAGTCGTGGCAGATGTGGTTATAGAAAAATTAACTCCGATTCGGCAGCAAATATTGAGATTGCTCAAGGAACCCGCATATCTGGACGAGATCTTGAAGGAAGGCTCAGATAGAGCCACAAACCTCGCGACACATTGTTGGACGGAAGTTACAGACAAAGTTTTTGGTAGTAATTCAATACAGAATGCAAAGAGTATAATTACTGCGGATATCACGATATAACCATTTATTGTAAATAAATTACATTTCTTTAAAAACAATTTTACAATTTTAAACTTACACTTAGTTCTTATAACTATGTCTATAAAGCTTTAAAAAACTAAAAAGTTAATCATCCCGCGTCGATTTCATGTCAATAACTAACTTACCCCTCAAATGGCCTTGACTCGCTCTCTTGTAGGCCAGCGGTAAATCTTTAAAGGGATACACTTGCTGAACAACAGGTATGATCTGCAAAAAATATAAGATATAAAATCGTAAAATCAGCGAAACAGATTCATCTTGGAAATTCGTAGACTCTGATGCCTCACCTTTCCACTTTCCACAAGCTCTTGAAGAAAGTTAATTCCCGTTTGATTCGGCATGAAATATCCCCACTTGACACAGCCCTTGTTTTGCGCTATTGGGATATTAAATCTTGCGATATCGCCGAGATTCTGAAGCGCTCCCAGGATTAGCCCATGTTGATCAAAATTTTTCAACATGGGAGAGTTCAATGTTATGTAAGTATTGTACAGATATCCTTTCTCCCTGACATATTCCGGGCCTTGTTTCGCGCAATCTAAGATTATGTCATACCTGTCGTTCATAAGTGTAAAATAAATTCCAATTTATGTAACAGCTTGATGTCAATACAATGAGTTTTAATTCGACAAAATTACGTACGGTCCCTCCGAGATAATTTGTTCGTCAGCATCGTTCTGCCTGTAATCGATGACGACATCAGCGCCTAAATTCCGCAGGCTCTCCACAGCATCATCGCTGCACGTACTAGTCACCTAAGGAAATTTCATGCTTTATATATTACAAATTGTAGCATGAAAGGTATGTTCAAATATATACATGCATATTCCAAGCTTTCAGAAGCTGTATAGCGATGGTCCCAACTCCTCCAGAACCCCCCATGACCAGAACTTGCCTGTTCCTTACAGCTAGCAAGTTCTTATAATATAATCCTCCCGTGTACCACAGTGCTGACCATGCAGTCAATCCACAGTATAAAATACTTGCAGCCTCTATATGAGACAATCTCCGAGGACGTGAACGTACCTTACAAAGAAAAACAGCAAGTGTTGCAAGTATTTATCATAAAGAAACATTGCAAATAAAATATAAGATTATTATGACATGCAATATGGTTGCCAAATACTTGTTATTTAAGAAATAAAATATATCTTACCATGTTGCTATTAACTACAACATAATTTGCATGACAGCCCTGCTTCTCCACTGGGACCACTCCCCAAACTTCTTCACCCAGTTCCAGTTTATCACCTACACCATATCCTTTTGACACAACTATTCCTGCAAAGTCTCTGCCTAATGTCAAAGGTAACTCTATTTCATCGTACTCTCTTGAGCAATTTGTTTTACGCATTAAATTCAGTAAATTCATGCCGTAACCCCCTGTAAGAAAATGTTTTTATCATACCCTACAAACTTAAATTACAAAATGATACTATCGTGCGAGTGAACAGAGATGAAAACATTCAAAAGATATATTTTATATAATATTTTATATAATACAATAAATTGTTTCTAATAATTTATAATTTTGAATGCTTTCAGGAAAGATGGCTAATGTTAACCAAAATGCAATACTCGTCATTGCAATGTCGATGGGATTTACACTGGCAGCATCAACTTTCACCAAGACATCCATTGGATTCCTGACTACTGGTATCCTGAGATTGGTAAATCGTAAATCGTCCAGTCCGTTGTATGCATGTATCTGCCAAGCATGCATCTTGTCTTCCGGATTATTATCCTCCAATTCGTTCATTAGCTTAGTTACAGAACGAAATTGTGCCAATCGAAAGGTACTTTTTAACTTTAGAATCGTTTTACACCACATTTTCTTTCAAATATTGATTAAATGTATAAAAGAATGGGCTAATTGAGATTAGATTCGTACAATATATGTTTTAAAATTTATATTACTTCCGTGTGCTTGACGTTCTTATAAATGTGCATGCGCATTAAGTAGGACAACGAGCAGAAATAACAATAATGCACTTTGCATTAAAAATAATATTTATGTATCCAGGGACAATGTTTCGTCCACAATTGCTCATCGATAGACAAACATCAAAATATGCGAGACGCTTTCCCCGGATAACAGAACAAACTGGAACAAACTACAACTTGTCCAACGACTATCTCATCTCAAGCAATGATGACAAGTCGTGGGAAAAAGTCTCGCGCACGCGCACTGAGTCTGAGCAAACGCTGCGGTAGTTTCACGGACATATATATTTAAAAGTATCGTTAGGTCCCCACTATGAAAGAAATGTGAAGGAAATTATAGGAAAGGAAAAAGCTTCCGTTCAATAAATATAATATAGTTTATATATGAATAATAAAAGATAATAATAAAACTTATTAATTTGTAATTTTTTTACATCTGCAGCCAATATATTATATTTATTATTCCTATTGCACATATTATCACAGCTCTTTCTTAACTTATCACTACACTTATCACTACACTTATCGCTACACTTATTTATTATAACATTTTACATTATGAATATATAACTTAAGTACTCGCGGGAAAAACGCGGAACAACTGTAACGGACAAACGCGCGGGACCTTTGCGCGCATTATTTGCGCTTACTATCTGCGCTTACATCCATCATTGGCTGCGTTCAGAAAACAAAGCGCTCACTGAGCGCTTAGTAACAATAGTTTACATACAACAATATTGTCTATTAGTATATATCCTTACTGTTAGATCCTTACATTCAGACCAATAACGTTGACGAATTACTCAAACGTTGTGTAACCGTTGTGTAACCGTTGTGTTTCCTGAACGCAGTCATTGGTCGTGTTCAGCGGAAAAAACTGCTTCGCTGCCGCTAGCAAACGTCTCTGATTGGTACGTCTGTCCGGATCTGCCAAAAATTTAAAAGAATTTTCCAATCATGGACATTTGTTACTGAGTGGTAGCGGAGCAGTTTTCTCTGCTGAACGTGATCATTGGAAACGCTTGTTTGCGAGCTCTAACGTCATGCTCACGCATGCGCACAACGGCTCCTACATGGGAAAAATTCCCATGACTTGTCATCACTGGTCTCAAGTAGCATCTCGTGAGTGATAAATAGAATTAGTGTAATAATAAAATCAACCACCGACAATTTTAACTAGTTGTTTTAACTAGTTGGAAATATAAAAACCATATAAGAATTTATAATTTAAATACATAGATACATATGTTATTACAAGCATTGTAACATTATAAATTATATATCATATATATATTTTATATCTGCAAATTACATATTATATATACAACATGACTTCATATATGTAGTAATGTTATATATTGTAATAAGAAACAATAAAAAATAAAAGTGCATCAGATATGAAATAACCATATCTTATTTGTGCCACTACTTCATTTGTTCCATATTCCTCATACCCAAATTACATTATATTCTCCTGATACACAAACGCAAAATCCAGCAAATCAAATATTAAATTAATTCTTGTGGTTCGAGTCTTAGCTAAATTTTATGAAGGTCGGTAAACTGTGGTTTGAGTCTCGGCTAAATTGCTCATTTCGCAATTTTATATCAGGAGAACATGATAACCGAAGAAGTATTCCTAATTTCTGGCGGAAATCTAGAAATTTCTCATTCTCTCAGTTTTCGAATTTTTGTAACAGGAGAACATAATAACCGAAGACGTATTCCGGACTTCCGGCGGGAATCTAAAAATTTCTTATTCTCTCAGTTTTCGGACTTTTGTATCCGGAACACATGATAACCGAAGAGGTATTCCGAACTTCTGGCGGGATTCTAG